GGATCGATTGGTTACATTGCTCCCGGTAAGCAATATTTTTTGGTACCATGACGTGCTCAATTGGTTGTACAACAACTAGAGCTGTAAACGAACCGAACGAACACGAACGGAGTCTTGTTCATATTCGTTCGTTTAACTTAACCGAACAAACGAACGAACACGAACGGTAAACGAACAAAAATCTTTGTGTTCGTGTTCGTTCGTTAACATGCTAAACGAACGTAAACGAACGAACATAAACGAATGGGCTAAACGAACATAAATAAATATTATTTGAATTCAAAGTAAATAAATAAAAAGACTATATATTAAATTTGATATATAAACGAACATAAACGAACGAATATAAATGAACGTAAACGAACGGTAAATGAACGAACGTTCACGAACATAAATGAATGAACGAGACTCTTGTTCATGTTCGTTCGTTTAACTAAACGAAAAAAAATTGTCCACGTTCGTTCATTTATTAAATAAACGAACTTACTGCCAAACGGTTCATGAACGGTTTGCTGAACGTTCAGTTCGTCTACAGCCCTAACAACAATATAATTAACCAAGTCATTTAACGTTCAGTTTTAATCTTGATCACATTAAAAGGTTGGCGATCACTAAACATACTCGTGTTTTTAAAATACAGAATACGGCATGGGACGAAGAGCGTCAACACAAGGAGATGTCTACAGTTTCGGGGTGTTGTTGTTGGAGATGGTGACACGAAAACGGCCCACGGATATTTTTCAAGACGGTTCAAGTTTACATGAATGGGTAAAGAGTCAGTATCCACACAAGCTCGAACCCATTGTAAAAGAAGCGGTCAAGAACTACACACCGGTTACAATTGTAACCACTCCTATGTTGTGCAATACTGAACTACTGCACGACATGGTCTTGGAGCTCATTGAACTCGGGTTAATATGCACACAGTACAACCCATCAACCAGACCAACAATGTTGGATGTGGCTCACGAGATGGCTACATGGAAAAAATACCTTTTTGATCTTTCCAGCCGATCAATCGAATAACTGATTTGTTTTTCAACAACTAACGTACCTATGAAAATTAGGAAAAAAAAAGGGTAACTGCTCAGATATATTCATTTATGTTCGTTCATTTAATGAAATGGTGTTTCAATTACGCTTTATTCACTTGTAATTTGTGCATGAAAGGTTGTACTCAATTTTGAGTGAGTTGCCTAATTGCATTACCTCGAAATATTGTAAGGTTGTACTCAATTAAACTGTGCTAAGTATAACTTATTAAAACTTAATGTTTGAATTTATATAACTAACTGTAGATAAATATAGTCAAATACAAGATAAATATTTCACGTCGTTTCCATTTCTTAATATAGATTCTTTTCTCGGAAACCCCGGACTTTGCAGTAGTTCAATCGCCGGGATGACGATCTGCAAGAACAGGCGAAAGAAGAATTTGATTCGGCTGCCGCTTTTGATAACGATACTTGCGATTGCCACCTTCTTGATGTCTCTGATTCCTGTAGTTTTCAA